CAATATTTGAATTTATGGTCAGACAAGAAGTACTTTTGTTTCTTTAAGCTTTTAGCTCACCGACAAAATAAGAACTATGGCTTTTTATCACTTATAATTAGAAAGATTTACTGATATTTGCCTAGTGGTTATCTAGAATTAACCATACATTATACTTTGCATTCCTGGAGTATCTTTCTCTTTTTGAACATGATTGCTTAACATGCTATTTGATCTTTGGAACAATACAATGAACAAAGGCAGAGAGTTTTATAGACAGCTTTTGTTAAAAACAAAGAATATAAAAAACTTTTCAACTGATATTAATCTTATAATTTGTGGCCATTTCTTGAGGACAAGCCATTTTTAATATACAGATAGAACGTTCTGAACATGTCTTAAGCTCTTAATGTGTGCCCGGTTCTGTTCTATGTGATGCACATATTCAGTCATCAGATTATCACAACCACACTGAGACCAATATGGGTGTCCACATAAATTTTTCCCAGGTTGTTAGCTTCTGTCTGTCTGTTTTTTAATTACATACTTGTCACAATTTCATTGTGTGGGAAGACTATGTCTCCATCCTTGGAGCAGGCCATGTCACCTAGTTTGTCCAATTACATGTAGGTGGAATGGCTAACATACAATCCCAAAGCATAGGTCTTATATGTTTCTCCTCTTCATCTTCACCATTACCACAAATAAATTTGCTCTGCCCTGGTTGATCTTAGGCAGTGCATATATAAAAGGAATGAAATCAATATGTTGAAAATTCTACACTGCAATGTTTGATGTAGCATTATTCATAGTGGCTAAAAGAGCCAACATAATGTATAAAGACACACAACATAATATTACTCAGACATTGGAAAAATAAAATTTTGTCATTTGCAACATCTCAGATGGAACTGGAAGACATCATGTTAAGTGAAGCAAGACAAGCACAGAAAGAGTAATATAGCATGAGCCCATTCATATGTGACATATATAAAAAAGTCAATTTCATAGAAGTTAAAAGGACATTGAGAGTTACATGAAGCTTAGGAGAGTAAAGCAGAAAAGAGCAATGGGAAAAAACCAACAGGTATTAAGTTATGGTTAGAAAGTAGTAAGAAGTTCTGGTGTCCACCTGCACACTAGGATGACTACAGATAATGATATACTGTACATTTCTTTTGAACATTTGAAGCAAAGCATTTAAAAGTTATTGCTGTAAAGACACATTTAATGTTTGAGGAGGTAGATGTGATAACCCTGTGTGGTTAGACATCACATAGCATATCATCCAAAAATAACTATTATTTTTATAATTATTTTATATAAAGTGAACAGATTTCATGTGTCACAGAGCACAGTAATGTTCCTCACCCTACCATCAATTCTGCCCATGTTACTCTTCCTTCCTTCTTTCCTTCTTCTCTCCTCTTTCTTTCCTCCCTCCCTTCCTCCTTCCTCTCCTTTCTTCCTTTTTCTTTCTTTCTTTATTTTTTTTTACAATGAATGCTTTCATTCTACTTTGCAATCACAGGTTTTAACTCTTTCTACATAGCAAATAGAAAAAACCCTGCTGTCTCTCAAAAGTATACACAAAGGCTATACACAGTAATAAAATATCAAAATGTCAATCTTGCTTATATTGATTGTATCTTTTTGTACTATGTGTATTGATTACCACAGATCAGGGAAAGTATATGGTGTTTGTCTTTTGTGGACATTTCTTTGAGCATAATGGTTTCCTGTAGAATCTACTTTGTTTAAAAAGACATGATTTGGGCCCAGCACGGTGGCGCAAGTGGTTAAGGTCCTCGCCTTGCACGCCCGGGATCCCATATGGGCGCCGGTTCTAATCCCGGCAGCCCCGCTTCCCTTCCAGTTCCCTGCCTGTGGCCCGGGAAAGCAGTCAAGGACGGCCCAAAGCTTTGGGACCCTGCACCCGCGTGGGAGACCTGGAAGAGGCTCCTGGCTCCGGATCGGCATAGCATCGACCGTTGCGCTCACTTGGGGAGTGAATCACCGGATGGAAGATCTTCCTCTCTGTCTCTCCTCTGTATATCCGCCTTTCCAATAAAAAAAAAATATATATATAATAAAAATAAATCTTTAAAAAAAAAAGACATGATTTGGTTCTTTTCTATGGTTTAGTGGTATTCTATGATGTATGTGAAACACATTCTCTTGATGCAGTCATCAGTTGGTAGAAATCTAGACTGATTATCTTAACTATTATAACTTGAGTTGTGGATATACATGGATGTACAAATACTGTCTCATATGCTGATTTCATTTCTTAAGGGTAAAATCTCCTGAGTGAGATGATAGGATATTATGGCAAATACATTTTAAGCTCTCTGAGGAATCTCCAAATTGTCTTCCATAATGGTTGTACTGGTTTGCATTCCCGCTAACAGTGAATTAGTGGAAACCCACAGCCTCACAAACATTTTTTTTTTTAATTTCAGATGATAACCATTCTAACTAGAGTGAGGAAAACCTCAGTTTGATCTTATTTACACTTTCTTGTTGGCTAATAGCATCTTTTCATGTGTCTGTTGACCATTTGTATTTCATCTTTTGAAAACTCATATCCCTGCTGATTTTATAACTAGATTATTTGTTTTGTTATGAGTTTCTTAAGCTCTTTATAGATCCTGAATAGTCATTTTTTTTATCAGTTGCTTAGTTTGCAAATATATTGTCCCATTCTGTCAGTTGCCTCTTCTCTTCACTTGGTTAAGTGTTTCCTTTAGAGTGCAAAAGTTTCTTTGCTTGTTGTAATCTCATTTGTTTATTGTTGTTTTTATTGCCTGTTCTGGGATTTTTTTCCAAGAAGTCTTTGCCTATGCTTGTGTCTTTCAGAGTTTCCCTTCAGTGTTTTCATTTCGTAAATTGGTGATATCAGGTTGTAAGTTTAGAACTTTGATCATTTTTAGTCAAATTTTCATCTAATGTACGAAAGGGGTTTTGTTTTCATACTTCTGAAAGCATAGATCACATTTTCCTACACCATATGTTGAAGAGACTGATATTCTTCCTATACTGATTTCATCACATTAGTCATGTATTAGTTGACTGTAGATGTAGATTATTGGGATTCCTACTCTGTTCTACTGATCTGCAAGTCTGTTTTTGTGCCAGTGTCAGGCTGTTTTTGATTACAACTTCCTGTAGTAAATCTTGTATTTTGATATTATGATGCCTATAAGTTTGTTTTCATCCTTTAAAATTACTTTACCTATTTGTGGTCTCTTCTGTTTCCAAATTAATTGGAGGCCAGTTTTTTTCTTGATCTGAGAAGACTGTCATAGATATTCTGATTGGGGTTACACTGAATGTTTAAATTGCTCTTCATAGTGTGAACATTTTAATGTTAATTCTACCAATGCATAGGCATGGAAAGGTTTTCCATGTTTTGGGGTCTACTTCTATTTTCATCTTTAGTATTTTGTAATTTTCATCAAGAGATCCCGAACATCCTTGGTTAAATTTATTACAAGTTATTCAAATTTGTTTGCAGCTGTTACAAATGGGGCTGATCTCCCAAGTTCTTTCTCAGCCATGAAATTGTTTGTGTATACAAAGGCTATTAAATTTTGTGCTGATTTTATACTCTTCAACAGTACCAAGTTCTTTAATGAATTCTAATAGTGTCTTAGGAAAGTCTTTTGGTTTCCATGTGTAAAGAGTCTTGTCATCTGAAAAGAGTGATAGTTAGACTTACTCCTTTTTCAATTTGTATTCCTTTGTTTTCTTTTTCCAGTCAATGGTTCTCCACGAAACCTCCAGGACTATATTGAATATTAATGGTGATGGTTGGCATCTTTGTCTGGTTGCAATCTTAGTGAAAATGCTTCCAAATTTTCACCATTTAATGTGATATTTGCTGTGGGCTTTTTATATATTTCCTTGATTGTGTTGAGGAATGTTCCTTCTCTATCCAGTTTACTCAAGGTGTTTATCATGAAGGAATGGTGTATCTTTCAAATTCTTTCTCTGCATATATTGAGCTAATAACATGTTTTTATTCTTCAGCTCATTAATGTCATTAATGTAATTTATTAATATGTGTATAATCACTGAATACTAGTGATAAATTTCATATAGTTCAGGTGAGTTTTCTTATATGTTGTTGGATTGGATCAGCTAGTATTCAGTTGAGGATCTTGTCATATATGTTCATCATGGATATTGGTCTAAGCTTCTCTTTCTTTGTTATATCTTTTTCTAGATTTGGTATTAAGATGATTTTGATCTCATAAAAAGATATTGAGAAGATTACCTCCCTTTGAGTTATTTTTGAATAGTTTGAGAAGAACTGGAATTAGTTCTTTTTTTTTGTTTTGTTTTTGTTTTTGTTTTCCAGTTTTAACAAAGAATTTTATTTGCTGATCTCCAAAAAGCAAAATTCAGAAAAATAGCAACCCATTGCAAGAGTCCTGTAATAAAACACTGTCCATCAGTCATGCTGTGAGCCCTTCCATGTACAATGGCATCAAGGGTACAATGCGTGTGGAAGGCACGTGGCATGAGACACAGCTCTGGCTGTCTCCCTGGTGGTGGGTGGTGAATCTCTGCTCCAACCTCTCCCTGAACTGGAAATGGATCCCATTTCAACCCCCCCCCCCCCATTTTTAAAAATAGTTATCTACTAGAAAAGTACAAAGTCAATTTTTCTTCCGGTTACGGTTAAAACACTGATTAAAGAACTTCCAAGTGAAATTCCTACGTTCTTGGGTTTCAGGTAATACCTGTAGATATTTACAGAGATTTTTTTCTCCAAATGGGTTAGCAGAAGGGAGGAACTGAGTAGGACAGTTAAGAGAAGCAGCATCAGCCTAGGATGGAGCGAAGCAGGCTTTCTCAATCAAGAGATGTTATTCATTGATCACAAACAGCAGAGACCCACCAAGACGCGAGCTTTAACACACACGATGTGTTCCCCAGGGCCCAGCCAGCACAGCCTGCTGACGCCTGGGAATGGGACAAATGCTGGTGACATCACACAGTAAAGAAGCCCAAGGTAGTTGAGTGTCATTTTCATTTAATAAGCTAGCAGCACGGCAACCTAAAGACCCAGGCGGTGATTAAACTGAGATGTTCGCATGGAATTGTTAGGAAAACATGATCGGCAGCTGGCATGTTGCGGTTCACTGTGCTACGCGGGCAGTCCCGGCCCTGATTTCTCAGGGTGACCTTGGGCTGGGGCGTGTGGCGGAGGTATTTCTTGCCAGACGGAAGCTCTTTGGTGAAGACTCCTTTGGGGAAAAGGGTTTTGGCCTCCTCTTCAGGGATGGTTGAAAGGACCATCATACTATCTCCCTCCTTCCAATCCACCGGGGTGGCAACACTCTTCTCTGCGGTCAGCTGGAGATAGTTAACCACTCTGAGGATCTCATCAAAGTTCCTGCCCATGGTGGCTGGGTACAGGATAGACAACTTCTTATCGGGCCCGAAAATGAACACCAGGCGTGCCGTCATGGGCATGTTCTTTTCGTCCTTCTCTGCTGCATCCAGCATGCCCAGGAGGATGGCCAGGTCCTGGGTCTTGTCATCAATGATGGGGAAAGGCAGCTTTTCTGTGGGGGCCTCACCATTGTAGGCTTTGATATCCTTGCTCCAAGCAAGATGGTCCTCAACGCTGTCTACTGAAAGGGCAATCACCCTAACATTCCTCTTGGCAAATTCTGGGGCCAGCTTCACAGCTCTGCCAAGCTTTGTGGTGTACACCGGGGTGCACACTGGGGGTGGGAGAAGGCGGATACCCCATGAGTCTCCCAGAAAGTCGTGGAAGCAAATGCGTCCCTGGGTAGTGTTGGCCTCGAAGTTGGGGGCCTGGTCCCCGAGAAGCAGACCTCCGGGCATGATGGCAGCGTAGACCTGGAATTACTTCTTGAAATGTTTGATAGATTTCAAAAGTGAAGTCATCCAGTCTTGGGCTTTTTTTGTTGGGACCGTCTGTTATTGATTTGATCTTCCTGTTAGTTATTGTTCTAATGTTTTTGTGCGTTAATTGTGATTTAAGTTTTGAATATTGTGTATTTTCTGAAATCTATCAATTTACTCTTGATTTTCCAGCTTGTTGGCATGTATGTATTGTGATTCCCAATGATTCTTTGTATATTCATGGTATATACGTGATCATATCTCCTCATTTCTGATTTTATTGATTTGGGTCTTCTCTTTTTAAAAATTTTGGCTAGTTGGATCAATTTTATATAAATTTTGTTTAATTTTTCAAAAAATATGCTGTTCAATTAATTGACCTTATGTATTGTTTTTATTTCAATTTTTAAAAATTTATTGTTTAATTTTAAATATTTTTTCTTCTAACTAGCTTTGATTTCTCCTTTGAATTTGTCTGACACACTATTCATTCAGTAGTATATTCTTTAGTCTCCAGGTATTTCAATATATTTTAGAATGTTTTAAGTTGCTGATGCCCTGTTTAATTATACATAATTGCCAGAAAAGATACGTGGTGTATTATCATTGTTTTAAATTTGCTAAGTCTTGCTTTATTGCATATCATATGATTTATACAAGGTTTATACTAGAGTAAGTTCCATACATATATGAAAGAAAATATATTATGCCACTGTGGTATTAAATGATATAGGTATCAATTACATCCATTTGGTCCAGAGTATGGATCAGTTCTATTGTTTATTTGTTAATTTTCTATGTATTTTATCTGTCTTTTAGCTCTATTAGTAGTTACCTTGGCATTGGGAGGATATACATTTGCTAAAGTCACTTCTAATTAAATTGATCCCTTAACTACCAGTATATAGAATATAGAATGTGGTGCAATTCTGTATCTCTTTTAGCAGTTTTTGTGTAAAAGCCAATTTTGCCCGATACTAGAATGGTTATACCTATTCATTTTTTCTTTCTGTTGAGTGAAGCAAATATCTTTTTCCATCCTGTAAATTCTAGTCTGCATGTATCTTTGTTGAGGTATCTTTCTTGTGGGCATCAAATAGGGAATCTTGTTTTGTAATTCATTCAGCCAGTCCGTATCTTTTGATTGGAAATTTTAGACATTTGTTTCCAGAGTTTTTATTGAAAGGTAACAACTTGGTCCTATAATTTTTCATAAATATTCCAATTATTCGCTTTGATTTCATTTATACTTTTACTAAAAATGTCCTACATTCACATTCTTTTGGTATGGTGCTTCACATTTTCTATTTCTATACATAGCATATCATTGAACATCATTTTTAAGACTGGATGGGTGGTGGCAAATGCTTTAAATTTCTGTTTGTTTTGGGAGGTCTTTTTTTCATCTTCATGTATAAATAAGAGGTTTGCTGGGTATACTGTTTTGTATTGGTAGGTCTTTTTAGGACCTGTATTATTTCTCTTCCTTCTCTTATAGCCTGTAGGGTTTTTTTTTTTTTTAAATAAGAAATAAGCTATTAGTTTAATTGGGTATCCTCTGAATGTAACCTGGTATTCTCTCATGTACATTTAGAATCCTTTATTTTTTATATTTTTCCTTTTAGTCCAGCAGAAGTCTTTTAGTCTGCAAAGCATACATGATTTTTTTTCCCCTATGTGTTGAACTGGGAAATGCTGATAATGAGGAACACAGGTATGGTTCATTTGTAATTGCGCAACATATTCCCACCCCCAAATAGAAAACTTTCTTGTGATATTTTAAAAACTCCAATTGTTTTTTTTTTTTTTACTTATGAAGTGGATTTGCAGTGAGTTATGTGACAAAGTAATTTAACCTGACAATGCTCACCATCCTGAACATTCAAAGACACAGTTTTGTTTCTCCCTGGAGAAGCAGCTGTTAGAGTTACAGTGGTGATCGCTGTAACAGGATCAGCATGGGGGAGATTGATCACATCTAGGAAAGTGACCTCTTGCAGCATCTTTGCAAAAGGCACACCTTCTCTGTTGATTGATTACACATCAGGGTGACCATCCTGGATGGGGAGACTCAGTGCGGTCCTCACCTTCTGCTGGCATATGCACTTTTTTTTTGTTAGTGTTCATGCAAGATTGATGTTCAGCAGCTGCAGCATAAGGACCCAAATATTCACACAATGAAAACTACCTACTTTTGAAAGAGAATGATTAAAGGGGTTACCATCCACAACTGTAATTATATTAAGCTCAATTCAAAATGGTGATTAAATTTTAATACATCCACAGAAGGTGGTCTTCTTCCTGAGCAGGGGAGTAAGATACATCAGCGGAAGAAAGGTCCTCTGTCCTCTACATCCTGAGCCTGATGTATCTCAGAATTCATGTTATAAGAGTAGTTTCACACTCCTCAAATTTCTATTTCAGATCATTACTCTTTTATTGGACAGAAAGTCTCTGCTTAATTATGACTTACTCTACCTTTCCCCAAATTTTGTCATCATCCAACAATTGAGCTATTTTCTCTCATTCAGTTAGTTTCTTCACCCAACATTCACCCCATTGTGAATGAGTAACTCCAGGGTAAACATATACAGTATGTTTGCAGTGTCTTTGTGCCTTCAGTTCCTCAACTTCAGCATATTTATTTTTATGTTTTAAAGGATTTATTCTAATAATTTTAATGCAGAGCAACAGAGAGAGAAGGAGAGGGATAGATCTTCCTTCTGCTGGTTCATTCCTCAAATGTCCACAATGAACAGGGGATTTGCCTGGCTGAATCCAGGAGCCAGGAGCTTTGTCTAGGTCTCCCAAATGGGTGGCAGCACCCCAAGCACTTGACCATCTTTTGCAACCGTTTTCAAACACATTAGCAGAGAGCATCTGGAACCCATATCATTGCTCGTATGAGATGCTGGCACTTTGGGTGACAGTTAAACTCAATGCCGCAATGCCAGAATGAGGCTCTTTCTTTATATTTCTTTTTATATTGGAAAGTCAGATATACAGAGAGGAGGAGAGACAGAGGAAAAAGATCTCTGTACAACGATTCACTTCCCAAGTGGCTGCAATGGTCTGTGCTGCGCAGATCCGAAGCCAGGAGCCCGGAGCCTCTTCTGGGTTTCCCACGCAGATGCAGGGGCCAAAGGCTTTGGGCCATCCTCGACTGCTTTCCCGGGCCACAAGCTTGGAGGTGGATGGGAAGTGGATCAACTGGAACATGAACCTGCATCCTTAAGGGCTCCCAACATGTGTATGATGAGGACTTTAGTCGCTAGGCTACTGCACTTGTTCACTCCCCATATGGCCACAACAGCTTGATCTGAGACAATCCAAAGCCAGGAGCCAGGAGCTTCTTCCAGGTGTTCCACACCGGTGTAGGATCCCAATGATGGGCTTTAGCCCATCATTCTTTGCTTTCGTATGCCATGAGTGGGGAGCTGGATGGGAACTGGTGCAACTGGGACATGAACTGGCATCATATGGGATGTCAGTGCTTGTAGGTTAAGGATTAGCTTGTTGATTCTGTGTTTTGAGAGATGCTGGAAATGTGAAGATATACTCTAAAGGTTGAGTTTAGAGAAATAAAGTTTGGTGGTTTTTTTTTTTAAACCTTAGATTGAAATTACTTCAAATTTCTGCCAAAAATTCGCTGCAATTAACTGGTTCTTCCTGGTTTTCCTATATCCCAGTGAAAGAAGTACAAATCTTGTTTTAAAGCCAGTGCATAGATTATACTTCTCTGAAACATTCAACTTCTTAGCCAGAAATGTGACTTCATCCTTGATTCCCATTCTTTCTCTAATTACCGATAAGTAATACCTGTCAGAGTAATGCCTATTAAAACTACTATCACTTAAATATTTCTATATTTCACCCTTTTGTTTTATGCGACAGCCATTGGGTTACTGCAAAAGTTTTTCAATTTTTATTAACTGGGCTTTTGGCCTCCATCCTTACTTCAATTCAATCTGTACCTCCTAGCTGAACAGAGTGGTTTTTTGTTTGTTTGTTTGTTTTGCTAAATGCCAGTATAATCTTGTGACTCCTTTTAAAATCTTTCAGTGTTCCACATTGCCTATAAACAAAGTTCAAAGCTTATAAGGAAATTTAGATGACTTCCATTCCCTGGTAAACTCACCTCTTTTGCTTTATTTCTCACAGTGCCTCCCATATCACCTTGAAAACTAAGCTGTAGATCAACTGAATTATTTGAATTGCCACAAATTTGACACACCCAGTGTTACTTCTCATTTATTGCACTTGCTGTTGCCTTTGTCTTTCCTTAACACATGCACTACCTCACTTCTGTTTTCATCTTAGATGTTACCTTCCCTTAAAGACTAAATTGAAACCCCTTCTCTGTGTTTCTGTTGCGCTTGCAGGTTCTCCTGTTTAGTTCTTAACATACGGTACTGAGGGTTATTTTTTTTTTATCTGTTCTTTCTCTCCTGCACTAGACAATGTGTTCTTGAAGGGTAGAGTTATCATTTTAATTGGGCTATTCCTTGTGGCATAAAGTAAAGGCTTAGTTAATATTTGTTGACAGGAAAATACTCTAGTAGCATGGTGACACATGCTGTTGTCTTTCTTGTCCCTATTTGTGGAAAGGCATAAGTGTTTAGAACTGCCAGAAGCTATGCATTCAACCTGAAGAAGTAAAGAGGAAATGTATGGACAGCCTTTTTTGAACTTTAAAAATTTATTCAAGAAGGATACAGGCAAAAATGGAGAAAGAAAGAAAAAAAGAGAGAGATGGGATGAGAAAGGGAGATAGAGAAAGAAACAAACAGAGAGAGAGAGAGAGAGAGAGAGAGAAAGAGAAATTGCTCTATTATTTTCCAGTTGCTGTTCTAGATGCCCCAAATGGCTAAGGTTTACCAGAATCAAAAGCCAGGAACCAGGAATGCAGTTCAGGGCTCCTGTGGAAGTCAGGTGAACCTAATTACATGAGTAGTCACTGCTGCCTCCCATGTCTTCAT